GTTTTTAAAATTTGTTATTGGTAAGCTCGATACATTTTCAGCGCCTTTAGGTAATGCTCCAGAATCTTGTGTTATGGATGGGTGTAAGAGTTTATCAGACTCTTCAGGGGTTATTTTTAGTTGATCATGACTATTTGATGCGTTATCTTTAGATTGATCTATTGGTGAATTATTAGACTTAGTTTTTAGATTTGACGTAGTTACTTCATTGTCTGGGATAGGCGTGGAGCATGCGGCATAACGGATTTCTAACGAACTTTCATATTCAGAGGAGAAATCATTCTCTGTTTCAGGATTTGCCTCCTTGGTACATATGTTTATTTGTCCGTCAGTGACATGAGTTGTGTTTCCTACATAGTCATTTGGCCTTGGTCATTTTTAAAATAGGTATTATGTCTACGGATGCGCATATATACCCACTTTCTGTCTTTCCAATTATTAGCATTTCCTAAAAGTTGGCAAATATCCTTATATATAGAATTTTTGTCTCTAACGAACTTTAAACTAAAACGGCCATATTTCAAATTGTTTAATATCTCTGACATTGTTTTTTTCAATTTTTTTTTTCAGTATGTCTCTCTGTTGGCTCTGTTACCTTATCGTCAAATATTTCTTGAAACAAACTGCAATTTCGATGGATGAGTTGATATACGTAATTTGGATATTTTAGTTGCTTCAAATTAATTACCTTGACGATTTTAAAGAATAATTTATGTTTTGGATTTAATTTTAATATACCTTCAAAAGTACAGTTAGGCCATTCTAGTAAAATGGCATTCTTAATTTCGTGAAGTAAAGTTATTTTATCTGGTTTGTGAAACATTTTGTACTTTTCAGTTTTCAATAAGTACAAATAATATTTTTTACTGTCTTAAAATAACATACAATAAATGCAAAATAAATATAATTCTATGATAATACTTTAAAAAATAATAAAGTAATAAGTTGACACAACAAAGGTAAAACAGATTAGGTATTATACACTGTTTATTGTTACAAATAATATAGTCAAATACCTATTGTATTTACTTATTAGCTAAATAATATAGGTATTTTAACAAAAGCAAAAAGATACAGATATTTCTTTTCTTTATAGATACAAGCAACGCTTTTCCTGTCCAAACAAAGTATAAAAGATAACAAAAAATGTAATTCTGATCCAATCCCTAAAAAATAGTAATAAATCCAGACTCGAAGAAAATAGTTGTTTATAAAGAATAATAGCAGCTTAAAAGCTTAAAACAGCGATTAAAAAAACTAACAGATTAACAACGAGTAAACAAACAAAAACAGTCAAATATTGTTATAAGTCAAATGAATATATTTTAAACAAGTAGGGTACTGTTAAAAAATATATAAAACGCAAAATAAAACTCTGAGCAAATACTTAAAACTATAGTAAGAACGTAAACCAACCACAGAAACTAAAAAAAAAAAACAGCAAATATACGCTGTTCAACTAAAACCTACTACTTATTAAGATATGAATAATAATTATCGACACCCGCAAAGAGAAACAAAATAAAATTTCGATACGTAAAATCACAATAAATTCAAACTATACGAATATGGCTTTCCTAACGGAAAATAAAAACTTAAAATATCTATGAAACAAACTTCAAGAGAAGCAAAGAGACAGTAAAGATACAGAGATGCACAACACCCGAATATACAATTCTCAAACGCGAAGTTCAGGAACATTGATGACTGTCCAACCGCAGATACGATTTACCAAGTAAACATTAAATTGTCGTCTTTGTAACATCTCCTCTAACTTCTTTATTTTGCATTTAAATGAAAAGCTGTATATTAATAAAATTGTTTACTTTTGTTATTTTGTTATCCTAATGCTGTGAAATCATAAAATTTTACAATTTTTGTTTTTTTTTTCAATTGTTGATTCATCACTTTTTGGGTACAGGTTAATTGGTCACGATTAAAAATAAAATCTAAAACTTGTGATATCACCATTTTTAAACAGTTATAATAGTTTGGATTATTTTTTTTTATAAATCAATTTATTTTCTTTAAAATTTTTGTTATTTATCATGAAAAAAAAACGTTTTCCTGAGTGATAATTTATTACTCTGAATTTAGGTTGTTTTTCGCTATAACTAGTATAATAGTAATAACAATAATATTTTGTAAAATCTCAGGCTTGTGTGGGAGAAAGGGAGTAGGTATATTATTGTTCATAGACAGCATTAGCAGAACCTAGGTAGGTACGTCTGTTGATTTTTATGTTTGTAGGTTTGTTTTAAAAGTTTTCTTTCGATATAAGTGCATCATTAAAATTGTCACAGTAATTAATTTAAATCAATATAAAAACCGAAGTTATGGGTACCATCTAATATTTGAATCAAAAATCTCCATTCGATCAGGCAATTTCTCAAATCTAAAAACTTGGCCCACCAAGGCAGGGACAAAAATGTCATTATCAAAGGTAATATTATAACGAGCGGTGCAAGTACTATAGGTACTTTTTTGAATTCTAGAAAGTAGATGTTTAAAACAAACATAGATGTTTATTTTAACATACTTTATTCTTATAGGTAGAATTGTCAATTCTAATAAAAACTGCAAACTTTAGTGACTCAAAAAGCATATTTCTAATTTTCAAAATTATTTCACTATTCCAAAACTGAATAATATAAAATATTTCACGGTTTTAGGATTTATTGCAAAGACAGAAACGAATAATCGGTATTAAAGAGATCAGAACAGACCTTCCACTTTTGCGTTTTGTTCTGTTATTAAATCTAAGATTAAACGTCTCCAGCGAAATATGTATTTAGTGTTTTATTACAAACTGTTGTATTAACCTTAGCAGACGGATAGAATCATAGTAGCGCTATACTTGTATTGTGTAATTTTTAAAAAACGGTACAAAAGACGCAAATAATATTTCAGTGATTCTAAAATGAAAAGGAATAGCTGCCAAAATTTATATTGGCTAATTGAAAAACATTGCGATGTACAAAGAGAAAAACTTAAATTGTTCGCGATTCCTAATAAAATCGGGGGAATTTATTTTGCCAATGAAGAAAACATACCAGTAAATTCCCAAATCAAAGTTCATAAAGTAGATGATTAGTACACAATCTTAGTAGTTCGATGTAAAAATTTGATAGTCACAGTGAACCGCTTTCGATAAAATAACTATTCTATGTTGTGACTGCTCTATCCCTCCTTTCATCTTCCATGAAGTAAGACAGTTTGGTGACTATTTTAGTAGTTCCCTGCGGCAATTTTTGTGGTGTTTTAGTGAACCCTGAGAATTTAATTATTACGCTCAGTAGTTGCTAAACATTTTCATTCACTATGAAGACTTTTGGAGTGACTTGATGTATATTATCAAACTGACCACAATTGTAGTAGTTTTCTGTGAAAATTTGGTGGTGTCACAGTGAAGAGTTTCCGAGGAATGAAATAATTTGCCCTGTGGCTGCTACCCCTGTTCATCCCCAATGAAGGCTTGTCGGGCAATTTGATGAATATCATCAAATTGACCACAATTCTAGTAATTTTCTGCGAAAATTTGGGGGTGTCACAGTGAACAGTTTCCGAGAAATTAAATAATTTGCCCTGTGGCTGTTACCCCTTTTCAACCCCAATGAAGACTTTAGGGGTGATTTGATGTATATCTTCAAATTGATCATAATTGTAGTAGTTTTATGTGAAAATTTGGTGGTGTCACAGTGAACAGTTTCCGAGAAATTAAATGATTTGTCCTGTGGCTGCTACCCCTTTTCATCCCCAATGAAGGCTTGTGGGGCGATTTGATGTATATCATCAAATAGGCCATCATTCTAGTAGTTTTCTGTGAAAACTTGGTGATGTCACACTGAACAGTTTTCGAGAATTAGTTATTATGCTCTGTGGCTGCTACCCTTTTCCATCCCCAATGGAGGCTTGTGAGGCGGTCTATGTTATATGTATAGTCGCATTGGCCCCAATTTTTGCTAATGTCTCTGAAAATTTGTTGAACGGCATCCACCCCAGAAATGATTTCTTTTATTCCCTAACTCACCCCGTTTCATCCCTTAAATTAGATGGTTTCTCTTACATCACCGGATTGGTCAGAATATGGAATATGGGTACCTTTTGTTAAATATGTGATAATGAAGTCACAATGAACCGTTTGTAAGATACTTATTAATAATTTAATTTTGCAGTTTATTTGTTTTTAATCTATAAATTTCTTATTGTCTTATTTCCTAACTCTAGGCTAACAGTTAAAAATTTTGAACAGTAATGACGAACGCTAATTATATATTTCAATGTTTCCTATAATATTACAATGTTGGAAATAGTTAATTATGATCTACTATTCTACGCCAATGGGTTACGTATTCGGATATATTCGGAAACTTTAGCTGCTGGATTTGGCTGCTGTTTTCACACCGGTCAAATCATGTGCATTTTTCTGAATATTTATCAAAATTATTAATATCATAGCATTTCAATCCACCTCGTTCTCCACACCTCGGTGGATTATGGGAATCAGCAGTAAAATCCGCAAAATATCACCTACGTCGAGTAATAGGAAATTCTATTTTAACGTTCGAAGAGTTGTACACGGTAGTGTCTCAGGTTGAAGCGGATCCAGAAAGAACTAGAATTCCAAGAGTCTGTTAGTTGATTCACAAACATGGTGGCCACACGTTGCCTGGTAGACACTTGTGCGGAATAATAAGTATCATTTGTTATTCTAGTGTATATTTGTAAATAAAAATATTCAAATGTTTAAAGTGTTTTTATTAAAATAACAAAATAACACTTTTATCTGTTATCGCCACAGTTACAATCAATCACTTAAATACTACATGTCAGCATTATAAAATAAACAAGATTTTTTCCCAAACTTATAAATCCAAATGTACATACCAGATCATATTCCAATGAAAATCAAAAGATAAGTCAATATCAGCATATTCAAGTGAAATGATACTTTAACATACTTGAAAATTCCTCAATAATAGTAAATAGAATTTAACAGAATGATAAGAGGATTTAACATATTTATAGAAGCTCAAGGAGGAAACTACATCAGTTAATCGATACTAACCATGAAGGTAACAGTTTTAATTGTATGCCTTTTCTCTACGAGGTAAGATATACTAGTTTTTACTTTCCAATATTTGCCTTACTAGAAGTAACGCTACATGTTTCTCAGTTTGGCAGATGATCCAATCAACACCCGGTACTTCCCCAAAGATTTCAAATTCGGTGTGGCAAACGCAGCCACCCAGATCGAAGGAGGCTGGAACGAGGATGGCAAGGGAGAAACCATCTGGGACTACTGGGCTCATAATTACCCAGAGAAAATTGCCGACCGCTCCACTCCGGATATCGCTTGCGACTCCTACCACAAATACAAAGAAGACGTAGCTCTGGTAAAAGCCATGGGGTTGGACTACTATCGTCTCTCAATTGCTTGGTCGAGGATCTTACCAACCGGCCACCCCGACAAGATAAACCAAGCTGGTGTGCGATACTACAAGAATCTATTCGCGGAACTGAAAGAAGCCGAGGTGGAGCCTATGGTAACGCTTTACCACTGGGATTTGCCGCAGCCTCTCCAAGATGAATATGGTGGCTGGCTAAACGAAACAGTGGTGAACCTCTTCGCGGAATACGCGAAGATCTGCTTCGAACTTTTCCAGGATGATGTGAAGATGTGGATTACCATCAATGAACCGAAACAGGTGTGCCATGACGGGTATGGTACCGGTGGTGCTGCACCTGGAGTGGTTTCGAACGGTGTGGGAGAATATGTGTGTGCTAAGAATATTCTTTTGGCTCATGCTAAAGCGTATCATGTATATGATGATGAATTTAGAGCAAAAAATCAAGGTAACTGTTAAAAAATCGATGACTACTTATCAAAAGTTGTTTTTTACAGGAAGAATAGCTATGGTCATTGACACTACGTGGTATGAACCAGGAAGTGACAGTGAAGAAGATCAGGAAGCCTCAGAAAGAATTGTTCAATTCATGGTAAGGTTGTAAGTTTCTTTCGTTGAAAGCCCACATTCAATGTAGGCTATCTGCTGTTCACAATTTGAAATACACCATGCCATCTATGACTTACCTCCGATTTTAACATGACATATGAACACTGTTTCAGTTAGGACTGTATGGGAATCCCATCTTCAATGGCAACTGGCCCCAGGTGGTGATAAACCGTGTAGCCCTGCGTAGCGAACAAGAGGGCTTTGCAACGTCTAGACTTCCTGTGTTAACAGATGAGGAAATCGCTTACATCAAGGGCACCTATGACTATTTGGCCTTGAACCACTATTCTACTTACATGGTGAACGCGACTGCAGAACCAGCAATTGGAGATCCCAATTTTGGAACAGATACTAATGTTGTAGCCTGGAGGCCGCCAGATTGGCCCAGTGGTTCTGGGAGCTGGATTGCTGTAAGTTTTCTTCGGGGTAGAGGTATAGAAATACAATTTATTTTTTTTTTATAGATCGTGCCTTGGGGACTGAGACACTTACTTGTGTGGCTAAAGAAAACTTACGGCAACCAAGAGATCGTCATCACTGAAAACGGCCTTTCTGACAATACAGGTACACTGGAGGATGATGACAGAATTTCATATTACCAGGTACAAGGAAAACCAAGCAATAAAAGATGCACTGTTTAATTATGCTTAAAACCGTTTTTAGGGCTATCTAAGTGCATGCTTGGACGCCATCTATGAGGATGGCGTAAATTTAACCACTTACACTGCTTGGAGCATTATAGACGACTGGGAATGGGGAGCTGGTTATACGTAAGTCTAGTAGTTTAATAACATGACAATAATAATTTTAAGGAAGCAGTTTAATCCGTATTTTCAATTATTTGCAGATCTTTCTTGGGCATGTATCGCGTGAATTTTACCGACCCTGAAAGAACCAGAACTCCAAGAAAATCTGCAGCTTGGTTCACCAACATGGTCAAGACTAGATGTTTGGTAGACACTTGTACCGAATAAAATGTATGAAATGACGATGAAATGCTGATGAACATACATTTTGACTACAATTTATTAAAAAATCATTATCAAGTCAATGCTGTTTTAAATACAAAATAAAGAGTACATTACAAATGCCTATTTATTTTTCTTGAAAACCCAACAAAACAACTTATGGTACCACTATGTTTCACTAGATCTGACTTGTTTAATATCTTTCGTTACACCATACTGTTTCGTTTAACATACCCCAAAGTAGAAACGATAACCGGTCCTTAACGGCCGGCGTCCGTTAAGGATTCTTATCGGCCGTTAAGATTTCTTCATACACAAACACACACACACGCACACGCACGCACCCACGCACGCACCCACGCACGCACGCACGCCCCACACACACACACACACACACACACACACACACACACACACACACACACTCATACACACACACACACACACACACACACACACACACACACACACACACACACACACACACACACACACACACACACACACACACACACACACACACACACACACACACACACACACACACACACACACACANCCCTCCCCTCCCGCGCTAGCCTAAGGGCCACCTTAGCAAAGCGCATCCCAGGCTGCATAGCCGCACTACCCTACCCAACCATACCACACATAAACATGACACTACCCCCGGGGTTTACACAGACGAGCCGGCGAAGCAAGAAGAGCGCCAGAAGAAAGGGCCCTAGCCGGCGGGGCCCAGCCAGGACAAAAGGAGGTCTTACAAAGCGCCTATACTGGCCGCATTTGCTGTCCAGGCCTACACGAGATGAGGCAGGATAAAGAGGGATAAACCCCCTCGATCCCAAATCATTGATGTCAATTTCTAGCCATGGAATAATGGCGCACTATGGGGGTTAGGTTAGCATTCTATATTATAGGTTATTCTAGACCTCAGACCGTATACTACTGGAGGCAGCGTCTAAGTGGCCGAGAGTGTAGCGGAGGTTTAGAGAGAATCTCCGCTACAGTCTCGGCCACTGGGACGCTGCTTCCAGTAATACATGCTCTAAGTTCTAGACAAATTATTATAAGATTGATGGAATGAACAGCCCCTGCATCCAATATATGCCCTTCCTTTGATTTATCTCACAGCGTAGATTAGGTATAAATCAATGCATACGTCTTAATCGGTGCTGCTATACTATTCATGTTAAGAACGTTAAGTCCAAACCCAAACTGCTTAATTTTGAGGTTTGAAGTTTCAAGGGCTTTAATTGTAATTGTATTACCTAGATCAGAGGGATCACTGCTTTATGGTTAGAAAAGTAAACCAGTTGATGTTAAAAAGTGTTTGAAGAAAATTGTTAACAAGATTTTAATATGTTATTGTCCCACCCATCGAGCGACCTTCAGGATTTCAGAACACCCAGTATATTCATAGAAGTATGCCGGAGACCGTTGAATTGGGAAGGAGGTGAAACAATCATATTCACCTACCTTTCCAATCCAAACCACAAACCCGCCACGGTTGCGAAACTAATCGCCGTCGGCCGGGCAAATAAAAAAAGCCGCCACTGTATCATTTCAGACATCGAACTCGATACCGTCGGGGAGCAATTTCCCAATAAGAAGTGGATCTTATTTGTGGAAGGGCGAAATGGGCGTTGACTATTAGACGCGTTCATTATAGCCATCCTTGTCTATCACATGGATTTCTATGGCTTACTTTATCGCTCGCACGTAACTTCTGATAGACCATCGGTACTTTCCTACACTGTAAATACTTTTAACATACCTTCCACGGTTTGATTGAAAAAACCCTGTCATCAAGCTCAAAAACTTTGCAATTCAGGTTCACAGGTTCGCTTCACGAGGCTTCCGTCGAGGCTGCCATTCCTCGACGTGATATTAATAGTGCATAGCAACCACTACTCGCTTCACGAGACATACCACCCGAGGTAGCCTAGCCTGAGGTGAAGACCCTGTTCGATAGTCCCCTGCATCGAAACAGCGGTAAACTCCAGGATCCACTTGCGACCTGCGAAACCGTCCGAGACTGACCACCTCCGACGAAGATCCTGTGCGATAGCCATTCGCATCGACACAGCGATACTCCAGGCTCCTCCAGAGACCTGCGTCCCGCCGAGGTAGCCCAACCTGAGGCGAAGATCCTGTTCGATCGCCCCCTGCGACGAAACAGCGATACTTTCAGGCTCCTCCAGAGACCTGCATACCGTCCGAGGCTTGCGACCCTCCGACGAAGACTTTGATTCCGACTGTGCCGGCTCCATCGAGAGACCCGCACCTCGGTACAAAGTACACACATAGGCTCCTACGAGACCTACAATTCAGACTCCATTGAGATCTGCAAATCCGAGGCAATCTTCCTCGTCAAACTTCTAGGCGGTCACTCGTCGAGGCAACCTTCCTCGTCAAACCCCTACGAGGCATTTACTTTGTGACCCACGGGCACAAAGCAATAGTACGCACGTTATTGTGGCGGCGTACTTCCAAATTTAGTAAAGAAGTTATCCTTACTTCTAGGGCTCCCTCGAGAGACCCACATTTAATAGTAGAGTCAGTGCTTACTACAAGACGTCTACAAGACTTTCGGAGCAAAAGAGCTTGCTCCGACATTGTCGTACGGGGAAGATGAACCCCTGCGACGCGACTACGAAATCCAGTGCTACGAGGATTGGTGCCCTCGAAGGTAATACTACGAATAATAAATTAGATCGTGTGAGTATGATCAAGACTGAGCTGGACGAGACCTCGTCCCAAATCGGAGAGACCAGCGGTCACACGAACTGCCCTCACACCTGTTTGCCGGCGAAAGATCTCTCGACATTCGGGGTGAAAGAGGAAATGGCCTCTCCTGCCAACGCTATATCGATGCTCCGCGAAGAGTCTGAGGGACCGAAGATGGTGGCTCGCGGAAGTACGCGGCACGGCGCAGCCACAGCGCCGTACGCGTTGAGGTCCGCTGCTACGCGGGTTACTGATACCACCTCGACCACCCCTCACGGCGCACTTACGGAGCCGAGTAGCACTCATGAGTTACAACGAAGTGGGTCTCCCACAGATACTCGGGACGATGTTCAACCTACGTACCAACTGGTAGGGTCCGGGGAATCCCATGAGTCCAACCACGGTTCGCGGTCCGGCCCCGATAGCGGCCTACCTCTGATATTGGGTGTTCCGAAACGTGGAGCCGTTGGCGACGACGATACAGTTTATTCAGCTTTTTTACGAAATGGTATCCAGCGGCAGCAATGCGCATCGCGTTCGGGTGCCATGGTAAGCGAAAACCCCTTAGGCGACTACGTCGAAGGTGACGAAGCCGGCCTTTTTTATCAAAGCAATTCTGGTACATCGCCCGTCAACTCTCAGGATTTCCCTCGAACATACGATCACCGCCTAAGTGGTCCTTATTTAGAAAGTCTAAACCGACACGGCGCTCAACGTGGGGCTCGACATTCTTCGTCGAGATCTCCCCCGCGAGCTCGTGTCCTAGACACAACGTCTGTAGGCCATATCCACCACAGATTACAGTCTTCTGAGAATATTCGCGACCTGGCGTCCCTAGTGACGATCCCCGTGAACTCCGTGCGTTTCTACCGCGGACCCAGGTCAAAGGAACTGCATCCCAGATCATAGAGCGCAACATGGTTTCCAACGTGGAGCTCGATTAGAACTCCCGATGTCTCCACCAAGGACCCATGTCGACCAAACACAACCATCAGATCATATTCCACAACATGGCGCTCGACGTGGGGCCCGAAGTCCTGCTTCGACGTCTTCGCGGCGAGCCCATGTTGCCAATTCTCCTCATAATTCTCAAATATTAGGCACAAACGATCATCTTACACGACATGGCGCCCAACGTGGGGCTCGATTAGAACTTCCGATGTCTCCACCGAGGGCCCATGTCGATGTTACTAATAATTTAGGTCATCTTGCACGACATTATAAGTATTGTATTTCTGTTTTGATTGTTAGGAATTAGATACTTATATTTCTTTTAAATCTCAATGTACCTCCTGAAATCGGAATAGCACTTAGTGATTCTTGATCCATCTGATCTCAGATCATACAACCATATATCATATTCATTGCACGGCATATAAATAATTTATGCTGTGGTCTGTGGTCGACGGTCGTAGTTTTCTTAAGATTAAGTTTTACTTTCAAGAACTTTTCAAGTTACTTTCAAGATATCATCCAGCAGGGTTGCCAGGTCTACTGATTTTTCAGTAGATCTACTTATTTGGACTTTGATTTACTGATCTACTGAAATATTTTATCAATCTACTGAAAACTGTAATGACAAAACCATACATCGATAAAGTATGTTAAAAAAAAATTTCCTGAGTTGAAGAAGAAAAATCAACTTTATTATTATACGACTAAACTTACCTTGCATAAATTTCCGAACGCGTTGTTTAAAGACAGCTCTGTAAATTTCGAACGCGCCCTTAGCAATGGTCGAATTTTTTATGGTTAGATACATAGACCACCTAAACTGGCTTATAGAGCGACGACTTTGGTGAAAACACTTCGGAGCCTGATTTGGAGTCAAACTATTATTGTTCAGTTCAAGGTTGCTCTTCATGGTCCAAGAAAAATCCAAAATTAAGTTTTCATCAAACCATTGAAGAAATTTTCAAAATATTATTGCCGATAGATAATACTCCCTGAATTTAATGAGGGTTGTTAGTAAGTAAGGGCACTAGTTTGCAGACATAATATAAATTTCTAAATTTAAATTAACTTTACCCAATTTTCCCATATAGTACCACATGATTAGCGTTAAAAACTGCCTCTCCTTCTGATATACAACGAGAGTTCTCGTTGGCGTTTAAATAGGAAATGTAGGTATTCCCCAACGGATAACTTCATAGTTATAACCCCAAAAAATGTACATTAAATTGTAATGCTAGAAACAAACAAGGTAGACATAAATACTTGAATTAAAATTTATTTATGAAATATTTGTAACCTATAAAATAACACAAAAATCAAATAACCGCAGTTTAATAACAAAATTTCTAATAATAATAGGAAATAAAACGATTGTTGTTCAAATGAATGTTTAAGCACGAACGCCAAGGTCAAAATTACCTTGTCTTGGAGCTTATCGCTT